CAAACCTCATTTTTTTTTACTTAAATGCTTGAAAATGTTTAAATCTATGTTGATTTACATTTCTTATGTTCAAAATCACATTTTTTTTTGTGTGTTATGAATAGATCTCTGAAAACTTTATGAATAGATTTGGGAAAAATATAAAATAATAAAAGAACTGTAAATGTATTTTTTATTTGCCTGTAAAGACTTAATATGTTTTAGAGCTATGGATTATCTATTATATTCATAAAGCAATTGAAATTTCTTTTTCAATATATTTTTGTTTTTTTAATATTTTTAGAATTAAAAAATAAATAATTAATTATGTTTTATGATCTAATCACAAGGATTGAATATATTATAAATATATGGATGATCTATCATATTCAAAGAGTAATTGAAATTTCTTCTTCAATAATTATTTTTTCAATATATTGTGCAATGTTTATTTATTTTTGTCTTTTTGTAATTTTTGAAAATAAAAATAAACAATAATTATTTAAACATAAAATAATTATTAATTATATTTTCACTTGGAAGTTGTGCCAATGCATGTTTTATGGTTGGATAGGATAGTTGGGCTTTTCCCATCCCTTAAAATTTAAAATTATAATTAAGCACATGTTTTTTAATGAAATTAGAATTGATTATGATGTATTTCTTCATAAAACCATTAAAATATATTAATTTAATATATGTATACTTGATTGAGGCCTTAGGTTTAGTTTTATTGAAATATTTATATGCATTATTGAAGTATTCATAAGTATTTCCATACATATCTTTGCATATATTAAATTTTCTTCGATACATATGCATATCCAAAGTATATCTTGACAAGTCTCTTAAAATTGGAAAGAATTGGCTTTTCAATACACTTATGTTTCTGATACCTTTTCCGATGCCTTGAACCTTGCTACTCCCTCTTAACATACAAACAACAGAATGTGAAGTTGTGTTTTGAACTTTTACAAGTTCCGTCAAAGTTTGAATGGGCTACACATTTGTTGTTATAACGCGGGCCACACTTCCATTTTTATTGTAACATATTCCTCTTTTGGGGAGAAGTGTAAAAGTAATGTGAGGTGGGTTAACACTCCTGTTACTCTTTTTGTCCCTTTTTAAAGCAAAAAATGAAAAAAAAAATCTTTTAACCCTAGCCTGTCGTATAAGTATGAAATTTTACCTTGTTCAAAACCTTTCGCCCACACACAAAAGCTCAAAGAGAGAAAACAATCAGTTCATGTCTTCCATTCGATGAACAGGGAGAATATAGAACCTATTGGAATATTTCTCTTCCAACATTCTTTAAGTCCTCTACTACCCAAGTATTTGTTTCTCCAATTATTTTTGTACCCATTGAGAATCGGTCCCTCTAATCTTCTTCCTAGTAACATGGACAAAAAGGACAAATAGAGATATGCCTTCCCAATTCCCACAAATGATGGTTATTATGGCTCTTGCTCAAAATAAGCCCATATACTTTAATAATTGAGCAAGGAGGCTTTGGATGTCTTTGATGTCTCTAAAATCACATAGATTTCTAATATGGTATTAATCAGACCATACTAAACAATATGACACCAATTTCATAAATCTTGATAGTTTATTACACCCTTTTCTCAAAACAAGCCCCTATACCTTAATAATTGAGCATAGAGGCTTCAAATGTCTTTGAAATTCTCTAAAATCACATAAAGGCTTCAAATTTCTTATACAGTAGTAATTAGACCGTATTAAAAAATATCACACCGATTCCATGATACTTGATAGTTTATTGTCCCTCTTGCTCAAAACAAGCCCCTATGCTCTATTAATTAAACATGAAGGCTTTGGATGTCTATAAATATCTATGAAATCTCATAGATTTTTTATATGGTATTAATTAAACTTATTAGATTTTACTAAAAAATCTTTATACTTTATAAAGTATGTTGCACAATGGAGAGATTTCAATTAGTGCAATATGATACACTAAGGCTGCGTTTGGAAATGATGCAAATAAGTGTGAATGCAGATATGTAGAGTGTAAAACGGTTCATATAAATTGCATAGTTGGGTTAGTTTTGCATTGACAAATTTACCTTCTTACCAACAAACTTTTAACTGTAATGGATGCAAACATGAATTTCAATAAAGCATGTGATTTTTTTTTTATCAAAAGCCCACTTGAATGCGGTATTACTTCTTTTTTATTGATGTACTTTTACATCTTATTATCAATGTAAATATGCATTGGTCTTTCATTTATAAATGCATAAATATAATGTTGCCAAACACAGGCAAAAGTGAACTAGAGTGCAAATTTACCCTGAACTAGGATTTACACTCCATTTGCATTGTTTCCAAACGCAGCCTAAGAGTCTTTAAAAAAATGAGACACTGGGCAAAAAAGAAAGGGGGAGAGGAAGAGGGTCCAGGGGTTCAACATTGTTGCTGATAGTATTAAAGGGGCAAGGGGACTATAATAATTGGTCAAGCAACTATTTATAAAGTTTCACCCTATTCAAAACCTTCCAAAGAACACACACAAAGAGAGAGAGAGAGAGGGAGAGAGAGAGAGAGAGTAATCAGTGTATGTCTTCCATTTGATGAATAGAGCATACAAGACTTGCTGAAAAGCTTCTTCTCTACCACCGTTCTTTAAGTCTTTTTCCACCACTTAGTAAGGATGGCAATTTCACAGGAATTTTCAATTATCCAACCTGTCCCAACCCTAATAGGACATGTTTATCAAAACCCTATAAGTTTTGGGATTTTAGATTAAAACCCTATAAGGTTTGGGACGGGTTTGGGTTTTGACTTTAGGGTATCCAATACCTGATATCCGAGATGCATAAATATGAACCTATTATATTATATATCATGCATAAATTTATAAATTTTAAGTACTAAGATAATTATTCTATTATTAATATTTTATTTGTATAAATTTCTTGGGATTAAAATCATTATTTGATGTAAATTTTGATTTGATAGATTGTTTATTTCATTTAGTTATAAAATGCTAATTTTAAATATTATTTCTTAAAGTAGTGCTAAGAGATTTGGTACCATCATTAATTGATCCAAGTTCAAGTCACACTATAAGTATTAAGAAACTTTTTTAGTAGAAAAAGTTTGTTAAAGGGGTTTAACGGGTGGGATGGGTTGGGTTTAGGAAATTGAGAAGAAAGTTAGATGGGTTTGGAATAAGGGATACATAGACGGGTTTAGGAATGGATAGGACAATTTGCACAGGTACCCTACCCATTGACATTCCTCCTACTTAGGTATTTGTCTCTCTAGACTCTAATTTTGAGATGCTCTCTTCATTGTTCAAAGTCTTCCTCCGAGAGGACTTGATGAAAATGTTTTTTTTTTCATTTTTTTATTTAAAGAAAAAAGGAAAAAAAGAGTAACAAGAGTATTAACCCCACCTCCCGCTACTTTTACACATCTCCCCAAAGAGTAATGTATTACAATGCAGTGAAAGTGCAGCCCACATTATAACAACAATGTGTGGCCCATCCAATATCGTTTCATCAAATATAGCGAATGACCACCAAAGGGCTTATTTACATAAACTTAGCCAAACATTTGGAAGACTTAGTATATATTTGGCATAGCTTCCATTAATTAAATAAACGTTTCTATTTGATTTGTTTTCAAAACCGAGAAACAACACTTGATAAACATTTTGCCATAACTTGTTGACAACTAGATGCCACTAGCCACCACCTCAACAAAGCAGAAAATATGTGTCCAAAACGTTATAATGGGACCAATGCTGTTTTGACGATGACATAACACCATTTATTTGATAAACGAAAGCCATACCATACCAAACACCACCTTAGTGCATTATCAAAGAGGTGCCCTGCCCTCCTTCAACTGTTTCATGCATTTTCTAGAACCCACATTGAATAGGGATTTTAACCATCTGATTACCGATTACTGAATAGTGATCTACAGTGCAGGTAAAAAGAGTGAATGATTTCTAACCTTAATTTGAAGGGAAATTGTCTAAAATTCTCCATGGGTTTTCAACATTTCTCTTAAACTCGCAACTTTTCAAAATGTCTAAAACTCACCAAGACATTAAGTTTTTATTTTCCAAAACTCACTTTCCGTTATTGCACCCTTAATGCTTCTTAACAGAGGTGTCCATATCAGCATAAATAACAATTTTCATGACCAAATTACCCTTGAATGGTGAGAGAGGAAAATGGTCTTTTTTCAGTTTTCAATATTCTAGTTTTTTTTTTTTTTGCATTTTTAGTGTTTTGTTATAATTTCCAATGGTTTTTTTATAATTTCTGTTTTTTTACATTTTTCTATTTTCTACAATCTATAAATTTTCCTGTATTTTTGTTATTTATTTATAATTTCTGTGTTTTTCTATAATTTTTGTTTTTTTCTACAATTTTTATTTTCTGATTTTGTTTTTCAATTTCTATAGTTTCTATAATTTGAAAATAATTTTTTATTTTGTTTGCAATTTCTATAATTTTTTATATTTTTTTTGTAATTTCTATGTTTTTATGTATTTTATATTTGACAATATTTTTTTGAATTTTTTCTTTTTTCATGTCTAAATATTAAAATGGTAATATATTAACATCTATTAATTTGTTTTGTATATATTTTATATTTTTTATGAAGATTAAAATGATAATATATTAACACCCGATTAGTCTGTTTAACATCAAGTTAGTGACATGATGAATTTTAAACATTTTGAAAAAAAAAATCTATAACGAAGAAAAGATATGGTATGAAAATAGTTTTGATCAATCAAAACCCACCCTTGAATTTTAATAAATAACACGTACTACGCTTATCATTCCAATTTATTGGTTGATTGTTTTTGGGATATCATATCTTTTCCGTAGTTTGAAAAATGATCAGAAGACATGGTGAGTTTTTAGAAAATTTCCCTAATTTAAATATGGGCCTCTGACTGTTACTCTCCGAAAGCGAGAGAGAGAGAAAGACCAAAATTCGATTTTTATGAGAACCGTACTTTCTTTCCACGGAAACACACACAAACAAAGCAACCGTATTCTCTCTTCCCTGCGCTTCCTGAATCCTCTGTCTCAGCTTCTGCTAACTACTTACTAGTCGGGGTGGTTGTTTATTATTACAGACATCACTCCGCGCCCAGAAAAAAAGTAATAAATAAATAAACCCAGAAAGTGAGGAACTCAAGAAACCAAAATCCATAGAAAATAGAGGCAGAGGAAGGCTGTGGAGATGGTTTTGCAGAAGCAGCACCACCTCTTCACCTGGGATTTCTATTTTTAATCTTTAGCTAAGCTTTGCTTCTTTGTTTCTCTATGCTTTCTGACTCATTTGTATGGCGGACACGTATGATCAAGCTTGCTCTTCCCCTCCTCCTCCCTCCTCCTTTTCTCATTCTCTTCCCCCTCCACCTTCTCGTCCCGCAGTTGAGAAATCAGACGAAATCTCGCTTTTTCTTCATCAACTCCTCCAGTCATCGTCATCCTCTGTTTGCATGCCTGACAGGACCAAAGAGATATCCTTCTCATCTCCTCTTCCTCTTCCTCACCCTCCTCCCCCCGGTTTCTTTTCTTCTCATCCGCAGAGTACATCTAATGCTCTGCCCGGCGGCTATCAACTCCCACCATGCGGATCGTCTTTTCTTCTTCCCCCATCCTGTGACTTCCGAGTCAGGGATGGAACCTCAACGGCTGAGTCCTCCGGCGCAGCCGACTTTTCCAGTCTCATTCTCTCTTCTTCCAGCTTTTGTTTACCGGACGAGGCCAAAGAGACCGCAACCACTACGACTTCCGCTAGGACTGGGGACTGCGATGCAGTGATTGCAACTGTGAAGCGAAGAAAGTCCCCGTTGGACAATGATCTCGACGACTATGAATGCGAAAGCGAGGTTCTTTTATTCTCGTTTGCATCCGTATTTCTTGCTCTTTGTAAAAATTGTTATTTCCATTGCTTTTTTAATTATCAAATTCGATGGGGATGAACTGATTGAACGTAGGAGGGTCTTGAAGCGTCGGAGGGACCGTCCAAGCCGGTGCCACCTCGTACCTCTTCCTCTTATTCTTCTTCCAAGAGAAGCAGAGCGGCGGAAGTTCACAATTTGTCTGAAAAGGTTGATTCATAGTATGCCCTCATGCCTTACTTTTTCTTTTCTTTCCTACATTTCATAGCGAATTTATTTCAAGTGTTAAAAATGTTGGACAGAGGAGGAGGAGTAGGATAAATGAAAAAATGAAAGCATTGCAGAATCTAATCCCGAATTCTAACAAGGTATCGTTCTTTTTCTTTTTTTCTTTTTTTATTTTGTAATGCTTTCTGGGTTAAAGGCCTTTTGGGGCTTGAATGCTCGAATGAGCGGTATCTGATTTTCTGCTTGTGACAGACGGATAAGGCTTCAATGCTGGATGAAGCCATTGAATATCTTAAGCAGCTTCAGCTTCAAGTACAGGTGAGTACGTCT